AAAATTGAAACTTAATTATTTTTGGAAATAAAAACGGATCTAAGGTGAAGGTATTTCTTTATAGTGTATCATTTTTTTTTATTTTTAAAATTTAATGAATGTTTGCAAAAAAACTAATGAATTTTTTAATGAAACAAAGCAACAAAAAAAACTTAGACATTATATATGCCATAGTAATTATTATAAAAAGTTTCATTTTGATCCATATTTGTAGACAAGGTCTTCAATATTTCTTTATATAATGACGCATCAATATTTTTACTTAAATGATAGAGAAGCAACCAATCACCAAATTTTAACTTATCTGTAAACTTCTCCATATCGCCAAATGATATAAACCTTTGCTTAGATTCAGTAAGAAAGGATCGATGACACGGAAAAATGAAAATTAAAGAGTAATACACAACAGAAAAGGCACTCATAATGCACACAAAATAAAACCAAAACCATAAAAAAACATAAATTTGTTCATTTATGACATTTTGTCGAAGAACACACAAAGTATTTAGATTTACTATATTTCCCGATGGGTCATATCGACTGAATACACACTTTGCTGTTTTTGGAAACACCCCATTCATTGGATCAAAGCGATCATCCGGCCTCATTTGAATGAATTTCAATGTCTCAAAACCATAACACGAAAATTCGCCACCAAAGAAGTAATCAATAAAATACATCTGCATAATTACATTGATTAGATTCAGATTCAAGCAAATCAAATATCTAATTGCATAGATATTATGTTGTCCCATGTTCGTTTCAAAATAATTAATGATGATTTCTTTTCTTTCGGTTTTATAATCCGCATCCACAATTGGTAAATTCAAATTGTCCACGAGATCTTCGACAAGCCATCCACCCCAAAATTTCCACAGCTGTTTTGGAATGTAGAAAAGCGCTGCTTGAAGTAAGAGAGCGAAATAAACCCATTGATAGAATTTGTAGTATTTATCTCCATTTTCATCACTAATAAAACTTCCATCCACTGGTTGAACTACGACACGACTAACTTCGTCTTTTTTCCACTTTAAATCTGCATATGTACTCAGTAACCAACAGTAACTAATTATAACGTTTGATGGAATTTCACCCACATTACAATTGATTTGTTCACCGATAAACTGATTTGATATTATGAACAGAGAAAGAGTTATCAAAATGATTACTGTTATTTTGCAATGCAGTCGGAAAATAAAGTTGTCACTGCAGATGCGATCGGATTTGAATAGCATTTTCAATGAAACGACTGCATCAACCATGATGTTTATGACTAAACCTCAAAAACGAAAATGATGAATTTCAAATAAGAGAATTGTATTTAACCAAGAATATTCCATATGAAAATGTTTATTTAGTCAACTTCTCTTTATTTATCATTTCAAATTACAGAAAATTCTGTTTATATGATGAGTCATTCGTTCAGAGAAACAAATAGTGAATCATATTCACCAAGATAAATATGTTTCACTTTGAATTACGGAAAACATTCTTTATATATTAGGTCATTCATTCGTTTGCTCAGAATTACCATCCCAAAAAATCGCTGTGTTAATGGAGTCATTGAAGATAACACAAACATATTGTTTTTTTTGGTGCTGCATGCACCCAAAATTGCTTAAGGTTTGTACTCCTGAGCAAAATAACATCAGTTTGAACGTCGAAGTTTTTTCGATGATTTTCCTGATACATTTGAACAATGTCATTTGCCTTTTTTTTCTTTAATTTTTGTTTTCGTTCCTTGATTGTTTGAGAGAAATAGAATTGTATGCTAAATAATGATTGCACCACTTTTTCCTTTTTAAACACTGGTTCCATATAGTCTTGAAGCGTGTGTTTGATAAAAGGTTTTTATAAAATATATCCATAAATTAGATTCAAAGTAACACCAAAAAGATTGATGCAGAAATCATCAAAAGATACTAATAGTCATACTTTTTCAAACTTATTCGCTTTGGATGTCTTTAAATAAATCAATCTTGTAGTGACCCCATGCTAGAGTATTATATGTGTTTGGAACAATGAATCTCTTTTCATCACCAGGGTCTAGCACCTTCTTTTCATTTTTCACTGTATAAACATTATGGCGAAAGGATTTTATAGTAATTTGATCCCTCTTCAACTTGCAATGTTCATTGATGCAACGCTTGTAGTCATCAAAAGAAATTTTTTTGTTTAATACATTTTTCTTAACTCCCTTTCCTTTTTTATTGATTTTATTTTTATTTGTTTTGATCGCGTACATTTTTGCACACACACCAACGTATTCATCAATAATTTCGCCGCTATATTCATCCTTCATTACACCCAAAACTTTTTTATTGAAATGCTGAATGCCATATGGATTATTTTGTGCAAATTCACTCGTATCAAATCTATCTTTATTCCCTCGTATGAAGTCATATATATTTTCACATTGAAAACTGTAGAGAAAACTGTCCGTATCACTGTATTGTAATTGACATTCATTGTGATTAAAATGTTGTAATATGAAATCATAATGAAATTCATACATCTTCCATTTTGAAATGTCTAATATTGCGGCGCCCACTGCAACGGGTTTGGTCATATAGATATTTAAACGTTTTAATTCGCATGCCGCAAGAGACTCATTGAATACGACGTTCCGTTTAAAATTTGGCCTTGCTATTAATGTTTGCATACCAAATCTTCCATCCCATTTATCTACTAATTTAATATCGACGCGCTTGCGAATATTTTCCATTGTTTTACCATACACTGCATTATTCATCAGTTTATAGAGATCTTTTTCAAATTTGGACGCGCTTTTTGCACGCTGTTCCGTATTCAATATTATATAATCATTTAACCACTTTGATTGTTTAAATTCCAAAATTCGGTGTACTTTCTTCAGTTTTAGACCATGTTTCAAAGCCATTTTCAGCATTCGATAGTGTATAACGTAGTTTTTCTTGTCATGAAGCGTAAGAACAAGTCTTTTCTCTAACGACTTACCCACGTTCATGTGTTCACAACAAAAGGGGTAATCGTTATGTTGATCATGTAAATTTTGTGGGTATTCCAGATCAACTTCAAGAATGAACCCAAATGGCGCATCATCTGCCATATTCATAAGTTCGATTTCGAAAACATCAACACTAGCATATATGTCGGTATTCCATCTAAATTGGGATAAGGGAAGCGCCTGACTCATAGCCCATCCATATAAGTTATTTATATCCAAATACAATAGGTAATTTGATGGTTTTTCTGGATTATAGTCTGCTCCAATATATTTATTGTTTGCTTTACAATAACGATTCGAGCACTGGCTAATTCCTCCCCTAAGACCTCGTTCGACAAACATTAGTTGATCAATGTCTTTGAGAAGCTCAATTTCAACGTTGGTATATTTCAACATACAATCCCACGAGTAGCCGGGTAGAGTGTAGTAATGTGCCGGATCTAGTTCATAGAGATTAATGCAATTATCGCGAAAATTTTCGAATATATCGGCTAATAAGAGAATATCTGTTTTTAAATAATGATCCGTATATTCTCTTAACGTTTGAATACCAAATGTATGCCATACGTTCTGAGCGTGGTTATATTGCTCATCGGTTATTTCGCAATCATTTAAATCATCATAGAAGAGTTCTTTCGCTGGCAGTTGTGTTTCATTGAGCTTATCCCATGAATCAATATAAACGTATGGATATACTCCTTTCTTTGTTAGCAATTGGAATTCTGAGTCACTTAAGTTTGCCCACTGCCTTCGTGTGATATTCAATTTATCTGATGGTAAAGATTCCGCTAGTTTTGCCAAAGAACATTGTAAAAACCTATATGAATCAATGAAACGCAGCCTCAATTTTTCACGATAACGCTTTATTACATGTACATCATAACCAGGGGCGTCATCATTATTATTATTGTCCTCCTTCTCGACGTCACCATTTTCGAATTTTTCATTATAATCAGGCAACTCCTTCGAAAATGAAATGTAGTGTTCACTATTTTTCGGGATTAATATCATTCTTCCAGGAAAAACATTTGCCAGTTTTTCAATTAGGAAATGTGAATCATAGTCCAAATTATGGAAAACAACAGGAATCGATTTTGATATTTGAAATTTTAAATTGCACTCTGAATGAGAGGCCCCTCGATATTTTCCCGTTAAATGGCAATGATCGCGAACTTTATCCCATTTACCCCATTTAAAGTTGAAATCTTTTTTGCAAATATGGCATAAATCAGCATTCTGGAAATCACATTCTTCTTCTTCGTTCAAAGACATTGGTTTGATAACATGAATTCTCGGCCATACAACATTCTCCATTAAAAATAGCAAGCTTTCAATGAATTGATCTATACAATCTGGACCCGAAAAGCTTTTATAGTGTGACAGATTTTGATCAAATCGAGAGTGAAAATAGTATCCAATACTGTTTGCAATGTGCTTTTGAAAGGTGCCTTTGGGCATTTTACCACCATCTGGACAATATGTGTTGTTTCTTGGTTCTAATAGTGATTCAATATCGGCATAAATGATAAATGGAACTTCAATTATATTCTTAAAATTTGAAAAACGTAACCAACCATTTTTCCAGTCTGGCATAGTAATTTTTGTATTATTCATTGTTTCACAAATCATCATATGATTACTCAATTTTTCTTCATTATAGAAATACTGCAAACAACGATCGCAAATATACTTTTTCAGTCGATTTTTATGCGTCGTTTGTTTTTGAATAAGGGCGCTCATGTTTTTAATCCAAGTGTAATGTGTACACACTGATTCCTCAATTAAATCAATCATATTTGTGGTGTAAAGGTCATCATCATCATTAGTTTCATTTTCCAAACCCTCAAATAACATCAATAAGTGGATATGATTTTTTTTTATCCTCTCTGTCAATCTTACCGGAACAATAATTTTTTCTTTCTTCTGCGTAAATGGAGAGTATTCTTCTTGGATGATGTATACGTTTACAGAAATGGCAGGATTCAGCTCTTCAAAATGACAAATATCCCTCAATTTAACGGGAAATTCAATTCCTTCAAAATTCAGCTCGTTCTTAAATTTTTTATATTTTGAAAGTCTATACACATGATCCATTGCTGGATGTAATGCTGATAGGATCGCCCATCTAAAACATTCATTATCTTTATTTCGAACATTAACAATTGCTTTTTTGTCTTTTATGGTCTTGGGAAGATTTAAAAACGAGCTTCCACGGAATCCCACCAGTTTATTATAATGCACATCCAACGATATTATTTCATGAAGACTCCAACCCGAACCATTTTCTTGAAAATCGCTAACCTTTGTCATTAACACATCACTGATATTTGTTTTGAACCATTCTTTTAGATTTGTTGTTAACGATATTTCCTTGAGTTTGCTTTGTAAATAAAAAGAGGCAATTTGCTCGTCTTCGGTTTCAACAGTAGATTTTCGTGAAAATTTTACTTCCAAAATAGCATACGCTTTCAATCGTTTCATTTTATTTAACACCTGATTTGTTTGATGGACAAATATCCGTTGTGATTCCATAAGAAATTTAACCAAATCAATATATTCAATATTTTTATATGAGTGTGTGCGGATACGCTTTTTAAAAGCAGTATCCTTCTCAATAATTTCGATTCCGTTTGGCTCTGTCATTTTGAATTAAAATAAGTATTATCAACGTTTTAAATAGACACGTCTTCTGACATACACGAATACACAATGGAGGAAATGACTTCCACG